GTGCTTCTTAGGACATTTCTGTTCTTGAGCTGTTGTGAAAGGAGCACAATGACCAGGAGCCATTATATGGTTGGCCTATACATCATCAGAATTATAATTTATAATGCAATTTATACATTTATATCATCAGTAAAATGGCACTAAATAAAATATCTCCTGTTCTTAATCTAAACCATACAGAATTTTTTTTTGTGGGAACAACTTGAACATACACTTTGGAAGATGAAGTGGACTGGCAAAGGTGATGGTTGAAGAACAATTTTATCTTTTCAATCAAACTCATTGCATACTCTAATAATACTATTCCTAATAATAATAATACTATTTTTTTGCTGTTATGCTCTTTTCCTCTAAATAGTAATTTATTCTTGCACACAAAACGCAACCTATTACAAAAGATTTTTGAGTTTTGAAAAAAAAGGAGCAGATTAATTTTAAGCTATTTAAATAACTTAGTTTTGTATTCTTTTCAGGTAAATATTACATTTAATTATAAGTATTATAATTATAAGAACAGAAGAACTCTTCTGACAATTTTTTTCCCCAAAAAACTAGAAACTAAAGAGTTTTTTGTTTATTGTTCAGACTTACTATTGTGATGTTTGGTTAAGTTGATTGAATAGCTCATCTTACACGGCAGATGGGATTTTACATTTCTCAGTTTTATAAATCTATTTAAACAGACCTCTTTTGGCAGTTGAATCCTTCAAAGTTTAGTTTATTCTTCTGTGTGGCTCTCCCACCAGTCGGGGCTGTCTTTATATACAGTGAATGCAGTGGTAAAAGCCACTTAGATTTGCCACAAGGTGGAAAAACAAGAAGATGTAATTGGCAGTACACTTCACTCAAACATCTTCCACTGGGACTAAATCTCTTCAATACATAAACACACACAAACAGAGGCACAATCTGAATCTTCAGTTTGCATTTGTCTTCTGTTTAATTGGTGATACCATTTCTTTGCTTTTGCCTAGTGCAGAGGCCTCACGGTCACCCCCAGAGAGTTATTGCGCTTATCACTATGAATGGTCTCGTAGAAATACACATTTGGGGTGTAATTTAATTGCCAGTGGCAGGGGAAGAGTGACAGGATCTCTATTTTGACTTGAGGTAGCTGAAATATTCCATCCACTGCTGGATCCAAACACACGGTCAAACCTCATCCACTAATGAGGAGCTCAATTCAGTTGCTGTGGATTTTCAGAGGGTTAGGACGACAGGTGAATTATTTATACATGTGGAATGTGATGCCGGGGTATATTTCTTTTTCAGATTTTTTTTTCTCTTGCTCACTTCTGGGATTTCTTTAAAAGTATAGCCGTGGCACAGTTGGCACAACAATCCAACCCATCCACCCATCCATCCATCCATCCACCCATCCATCCACCCATCCACCCATCCATCCATCCATCTATCCATCCATCCATCCCATATCTAGTGTCACCTTCTCTTAGGAAAGACTTTGACCCATCCTCCATCTGTCTGGTGGTATCTGTTGAGATTGACTGAAGCTGTAGGGAGAGAGACTGCTCTTATTGTTTCAGCCGTCCAGACTGGGGCCGCCATGTCCCAGAGGAGCTTTCTCCTTGCTCCTGGGCCACCCCTGACCCCTGCAGCCAGGGGAGACCCAGCAGATCTGTTTCACAGCTGACAGAGGCCTTCCTCTCCAGGACGGGTCTTTGTTTCTCAAATCCACCACAGGCCCCAGATGGGACTCGCAGGGATGGATGTTTCGGCAGAGGCTGTGATTCAGATTCTGAACTTGAAATATGAGGCCTGGCGTCTGCATTCTGAAGAGCTTCGACAGAGCTTTCTCGAATAACATCAGATGACAGAGAGTGGCATTTTCCTTTTGTAGCTTATCACTCGAGGCTGATGATCTAGAGTCTGTTGAATAATTTGCTTGTTACCTGTTCGTTTTGATTTGTAAAAACATAATTTGACTTAATGTAGCTGTGAAACTTTACTAACTTAGAACATTTTTAATACTTTTACTTAGTCATGGATTCTTGTATGCTTGGTCTCACTTTAGATGGTTTACTGGGAGAATAAATATTGTGGGAGGATTTTAAAGTATTACAGACAGCAAATTTTTGCACTGCACATTGAACATGATGAATTGGGGTTGGGCTTGTTATGGTCCATCAGCAAAAGAGGGTGATCTAATTGGCTGACAGACATCGAATCAGAGCCCATGAAGGAGTTGTACGTGAAGTTAAGTAACAAGCAGAGAACAGAGTCAAAGAAAAGGGTTCAATTCTCTTTTGGAAAACAAAAAAAACATGACTGGGTAAAACAAAGCTATTGAAGAGCAATTTCATTCAAGAGAGGCCAGCGTATGACATAAAGGAAAAACAGCATGCAAACTTCCAATCAATCATCAGCAGCACACTCCCGGGTTCTGTTCCTGGAATAAAAATGCAGACTACTTTCATCTCCAGGTGCGCAAAGGTATATTTCCTCACGCTTGTGAAGGAAGCACCTTCTAGTCGAGTGTCGTCAGCTTGTGACCTAAGCGATAAGGGTCGATAACAATGGCCAGTCACCTCCATTAGTTGTTTGGTGGCAGGTTCATGTGTCCAGGCATTTATGAAAACAGTTATTGGGGCTTGTAATAAAACACTTGCTTATTTAGAGTAATACTGCACCCATAGAGAATACCCTTAAAATATGTCTACTAACTATGTTTACTAACAGTAAATGTAAAAGTTTTTCATGTTTGAATACCAACTGTTTATTCCAACAAAAATATGTTATTTGGACAGTTATAAATGACCTTGTAAAAAAAAATAACTGTGCTACAGTATATTTGACCGTAAAGCTCTTGAAACCGTGACTGCACGGTTGTAGTGTAAAATTTACGGTGTCTATTTTACAGTGTAGTGCAGCCGTCCAGTTATTCTTTCATATTGTTTATCTTCATTTTCTTAACGGAGGAGATTATTATTAAAGTAAGATGCTGGACTTAAGAATGCTACAAACAATGGATCCAGGACAGAGAGAAACTTTTAAAACTGAGGAAAGAAAAGGAACACTTCTACAAACAAGTTATTGATTATTTTCTTCAGAATTAGTGGCCCACTGACTTCATTTATAAGAAAGGCAAGTCGATAATGTTTTTGTGCTTCTTTCAATGCTACAGTGTGTAAATGGGGAAAAATGTTGAAATTAAATTTTAAACAAAACATGTTTAAATCCGACCTGTCCATAGTGTACCCCCGCCTCTTGCGGAAAACCCCAGTGACCCCTAAAGGGAATAAGCGGGTTAGAAGATGAATGAATGAATGAATGAATGAATGAAATGTTTAAATGTATAAAAAGCAATTTGAGTAAAAGTCAACAAATAAAGAGTAGGTTTGACTGTAATTATGTGAAATGCTTTTCAAAATAGTCCTGGTGAAGATCAACACTTACTCAAGATCCACCTTCTGTTTTTACAACATTCTTATTTTACGACTTATACAGGTGTTGCTGAGCTATCTCAAATAGCAGAATGCACACCCTGTGCTTATCTAAGCCAATAAATCCCGCTAAATGACCTGCTAATCACCTATTAATGGTGGTACAAACAGGCCGTGGCCCTCTGTGGTGCAGCAGTCTTATCTTTGCTCAAACACTGCTATCTGAGCTGGGTCAGCAGTGATTTAGAGCTTGTGAAGGAGCGGAGCAGTCCTTCACCATGAGTCATGGTCTCTCTTTTGTTTGTTGGCTGTGCTATAGGGCATGTTTGCAGGAAAGGGGAATTTTGGGCTTCATAGCAGCCTTTGAAAGCTGCGCATCTCTATCAGTACTCACTTCTGGCTAGTGTCTTTATCTCATGATACAGAAGATACAGAAGTTTAACTGCAGTGTACACACATATAGACTGAGTAAAGTATCACTGCGTCTGTGGATACCAGGTTCATGACATGATAAACATAAACACTTCATCATGGTTGGAATCGAGTGGATACCTTTAAGATTAGGCCTCACCAAGCACAGGCCACGACCCAGCACCAGTCCTTGAGGCATTTGTTAAGTAATTAACAAGTAATTCGCCAGGCGTGTTGAAATAATAATACACACTGGAGTTATTCAAATGAGGAAGCGAAAGACCGTGGTTCGAAAGTGCGTATTGAACCGAGGACACAGTACCGTTTGGTTTGTTTTTAAACTGATTATTGTGACATCCCTAATGTTTATCTCTGTACTCATATACAATATTTTTTATTGTTTTAAATATATCCATTTGACATCACTACCGACAATCCATACTTTACCATTGTCAGTGGAACAATTGAATGTTTAAAAAAGCCTCTTTGTGGAGATCTGCGATGATACCATAATATTGAAGATATGCAAATATGAATAAACAAATAGTCTTTTGAACCTAATTGATTCTTTTTAGCATTTAGTTGCTTGTTTGATCTACGGCTGTTGATCCTCGGGCGATCAGTGTCTGCATGTAACCCTTTCCCACTGTCAGGTTTGGGTCTGCATTGATGAGGACTCACTGGGTACAGCTCATTTCCATCTGAAGTTAATGCAGCCACTGAAGCTGAACGTATTAAAACCAACGTGTGACACTTCTATCTCTCGCTTTCCTGGTCACCCCCCTCTTTCTAGCAGTGAATAAATGGAGTGAAGCTTGCTGTAGGTTGTAATGTAATTGCTGTATGCATGAACGTAGCTGAGAGCTGTGTCGGTTAACATGACTGAGAGCTGTGTGAAGATTTTTAATTGCAAAGGCAGACTAAAGTGAATGCTCCCCGTTGATACATGTCTGTTCCTCCTAGGCAACATACACTCAGACACCATATAATATTGAAGTTGAGACTAGATAATTTATACATCAATCCAAAATTATTCTACACATCCTGAAGGCAATGGTGGAAGTGAAGTCAACTTATACACAGGGGAAAACAAGTATTTACATTACATTTACGCATTTGGCACACGCTATTATACAAAGCGACTTACATTTTGAATGAAAAAAAAAAACACTTTTTTGTCAGTTCATGTTTTCCTTGGGATTTGAACCCACGACCTCTGCATTGTTAGCGCAATGCACTGCCAATTGAGCCACAGTAAAGTTTTTTTACCCCTTCTTGCTGATTTTCAGGGGTTTCCACAAATAAATTACCAGACTTTGAATGTACTGGCTTATTTCATTAGTGATGATCAGAATAACAACAAAATCAGAAAACAAAAGTGTTTGCGGGGTTAGCTTATCTTATTTAATGACAGGGGTCTTGATGGCAATCTCCTCTCAAAGAGATCTTTCTTCTAGTTGGCTCAAAGTTTATATACGTCTGAGGAGGGCGTTTACTACTGTTTACAGATCCACTCTAAACCATTAACCACTCTGGGATCTTTGGAAATACCATTTGGAATTATGCTCAAAGAGACTTTTTTCCATCAAACCATTCTAAATGCAAGTGAACTGGGGTGTTATGTGTGCCTCTGTCTTGCCAGCCTACCACATAGGCCAGACATTTGAAAAAAAAAAATGCTGGAGATTTTTGACACAACACAAATGTTGCCTTGGGCCTCCTGACAGGTAGTTTTTTGGAGAGATATTCAGTTAGTATTGCATAATATTTTCTCCACAACATAACCATTTTCACTGTATTCTGCGGTATATCATTGATATTTTTTTACATTTCCGATGCTTTGGAAGCTCTCAACAAAATGTTACATTCATTAAATTTATTTATGAATTATCATATACTTTATTTTGGTGGGAAATATTTTCCCTCACATTATCATCATAATCATCCATGAAATAGCTACAGTCTTTTTACAACACTGGCAGTAACTATTACACACAACGTTATGATTGACTTACAGAACTTTAAAATTAAATGAAGCAGAGTCAGGGATTTTCAGGCTATCATGCTGTTTCTCTTGTCCGAGCTTAATTACCAGAGAAGCAATCCTCCAGTGGCCTTTCTCGGCCTGGTGAGTGGTAAAGCGAGGCCAAACCGGGCACACACTGAGCGTACTTCATGCGTATGCATGTGGAATGTTTGTGAGAGTGTGTGTGAGCCCGAGCAGAGGAAAATGATTCTGGCCTCAGGCTGCGATCGATCAGATCTTAGATGCAGAATTCCCAGTGTCCCTCAGCTGAGGCCGTGGAGCTGATTAGCTCATCTCATATTCTAAAAGAGCAGGACCGGGGAGTAAGAAAGAGGGGGAGGATAAAAAAGAAAGCATAAACAATGGATACAACTAATAATAAAAACAGTTAACAAATGAAATATTGAGTGTGGTGCCAAGACTGAAAGAATCGTTATGTGTGGCTTAGTCATCTGTTTACATTTACTTAATATTTAATCAATGCATTTTGTCTTCATGCTTGTTTGTTGCAGTCCTTATCAAATTTGTGTGTTTTCAGTACATTGTGTTTTGCAGATGAAGTATCCTTACACAGATTTCATTTTTAAGCCTTTAATTAGGTCTTGGACTATTCTGTACAAAATGTTGAGGTGGTAGGTAACAGCAGCAATGCATGCTCCACTGTGTGCAGTCTTTTGTTTCTTACCGTACTTCCACAGTACTTCCCAATTTCCAAATGTCATTTAACTGAGGTGAAGTGAATCAGAATCAGAATCTGATCAAGCTGTTTTCACTGACATACATATGGTTTTTATCTGATTGAAATCTGTCTTCTTCTGTTTATGCTATCAACGAACAGATATGATATACAGTGGTACCCCGAGATACGAAATTAATCCATTCCAGTGTGGCTTTCGTATCTCGAACAATTCGTATCTCATGGCAAGTTTTACATGTAAAACGCCTAATCCGTGCAATGGCTCTCAGAAACAACAGTATAAATTGATAAAAAATGGAAAACTAGAAAAAAAACAAGTAATATTTCTTCAATCCTTAAATCTACACATTGTTAATGTAATAAATGATAGTAAAACAGAATAAAACATGCAAAATACATAATATGTACACAAATGTGAAACCTTACCTTGCGAGTGAAGAGATGTCTCGGAGGAGGTAGAACTGATTGGAGAAAACATTACGGCACTACGTATTCAAGTTAACTTTCTCAAGATATTTCACGAATTAATAACACCAACACGGTTTCACTTTCAAGCCCAAGCGTAGACAGTACCGAGCGTGTGACAGTGATGGAGAGAGCGCTTCTGAGAACGTGTCACTGGGTTTCTCTAACTTCCACTACAGAACAGCACTTTCACTTTATAATCGTCATTTCTTTTACGATACCTTGACTCTAACATTTGTTATAGCACATTATTGGTTATCTATACATAATGTTTTGCTTGATTTAAAACTGATTTAAAGTGTTTTAAAGCGTATCAGCCACCTTCAGCACTGTCAGCAATGGGAGAATGGAGCGTCAGGACCTGGAAGTGCAGTGCAACGTCAGACTTAACAGTCGGATAGTAGAGCAAAAATGTTGGTGTTTTTCGTATCTTGGAATTTTTTCTGTATCTTGAACATTTCGTTACTCAAAGCATTCGTATCTCGAGGTACCACTGTACCATAAATGAAAGAAAAATACACTTTTTTAACATGAGGCTGTAAAAGACTTTTCACTGTCATCCATCCATCCACCCAACCATCCATCCATCCATCCATCCATCCATCCATCCATCCACCCACCCACCCTCTTCCTATTTGTCAATGTCTGTTTGTCCATTTATGTTCATCTATGTCATTTTATATGTGTATATGTCTGTAGCAGTTTGAAGCTTGTCCATCTGTTCTCCATTCCCCGTCTTTGTCTCTCTAGCTGTGTAGTGTTTGTCTTTATTGGTTTTTCGCATGTGATCCGTCTGTGTCTGTCTACACATCTACCAGTGTCCTCTCTGTGTTTGTTCATCCATCTATATCTGTCTATTTCTCTCTTTTTCTGTGTGTGTATCAGTGTATCTGTGTCGATATACATGTATATCCATATTTTCCTTATCATTTTCTGTAAACATGTCCCGGATTCCAGCATCTATGAATCTGTATATGCTTCCGTCTTTAGTTGTATTCATCCTTTCATCTACTCATCATTTCTGCTGTTATCCTTGTTACCCTCCAATCTGTCTGTTTAATCATCCTGTTTTAGTTTACCTTTTTTAGCACTTTTGTGTTGGTAATAATTGGGGGTGTGTAGATTTTAACCATGCACTCCTTGTGTTTCCGCAGTGCTTCTCATCTTAGAGCATACGCTGCATTCCACCACTGAAAAAATAAATAAAAGAAGAGCAAGAGAAAGCGAGAGAGCAGGGCTTCTGCATTTCAAAGTGCACTGGGAATAATGCATGTAGCCGGGGTTTTCTGACTTTGTGAATGGACTCTTGAAAACTGGGGGAAGAGGAGTAGGCCAGTGTGAATATTTGTTTTTTAACCTTCTCTGACTTCATAAATGCTAATGTTTGTTCAGTAGGGTTGAGTATTAAACCGGTTTCGTTCAATTGGTACTTTCAAAGTGGTACAGTTTCTTGAAAAGTATATCAAGCTCTGCTTAAAAACAGCCTAACACACACCAAATTAAAATACAAATAAATAAATAAATAAAATAGTAAATCAACCAACATGTGCTTGAATAAAATAAAATAAAATTGCAAAATAATTAACTTTCTTTCAGCTTGTAACTTCAAATGACTTCAAATTTTCAAAAACTTCAAAAATTCAATTTTTAATTTTCTAGCAATAGCAATAATAAAACAATAATAACAAAATAAAAACGAATAAACCAAAAAAATGAACAGAGTTTTTTATCCACTGACAACACTACCTTTACTAGTAGCTGTAATGGGAGTCTAAAATATTTGGCAAGCCCAGGCTTTCTCATGCACTGACTATTGGGGTATCTTCAAGAAAATATTGTATACTATATAAAGATTCCGTCAAACGATTGGGAGCAGCTGTTCTTATGAGATTTACGTTTAAGACACTACATTCCCCCTTTAATCTCAAACAGATTTAGAGCCACTGGAGTGTTTAAATGCCATTTCAGCTGTGTGCATCACTTATAACGCTTGATTCTGACTGGGCTCTAGTGGTTGTTTTATCATGAAATCACTGACTGGAATGGGTTTCTAATCTTTAAGTCAGATGGCTATATCTCTATTTAAGATGTAGGTAAAACATCTTTTTTGGTTGCTCCATCTGTTTGATTAACCCTAGCTTCTGCCTTTCACTTGGCTATTGAAAAATCACATCTTTTGCCAATATTTTAATAAACATGGTTATCTTTAAGCCACTTAACAATGATTTCTCATTATTTGCAGCTAAGAGCAGCAGAGATTCTTTGTATTGCTTATAAAAATAATATTATTACATATCACATACAGCTGTTTGCTTGCTTTTGTGGAAAGTTATACTTGGCTTTTAAACAATATAGAGCTGGTTCATTTAGGTCCTGTTTATACTACAAGTTGAATGTAATCCAATTAAAAAAAATACTCATATGTGCCTCAGATTCAACTGATCTATGATAGTGTAATAACATAAAAAGGCATGCATATAGATATTTTAAGATCAGAATCAGGCCTTAATCAGATCTGCAGTAAAGTGACAGTCATGTAAACAGGCAAAGTTGATTTTATAATGCATTGCAATCTCAATGACATTAAACTGGGACAATGTAGTGGAAGTGCAATGGTTCAAATCACCATCGGTTGGAGATGGAGGAGGAAAATGCCCCTTTTTCTCCTTCTTGGCCTGAAAACCATGTGGCTATTTAACGTTAAAAAATTTGCTTGTAGAGATATCCTTATACCTTCGCACTACTACAACATCCGCGCATCCTTGTGCTTGTTCAAATCAGAACTGAGCAACAAAGCCCAAGGTGTAAACAAGCCCTAAATGCATCTACACATTGGCCCAAATTGAGATTCGCACACATTTTCGGATAGCTCCTTAGCAGGGTGCTCTTCCTGTGGGTCGAGGAAATATTGATGCATTGACGCTTCCTGCCTGAAGATGGTGGTTGCCCTTAAACAGATGCACTCTGGGCCATTTTTGTAATCTTTATGGCATTTGTCAAACAGCTCCCTGTAAACAGCCACCAACAGTATAAGCCGCTCAACATCTATTTTTTCAATGTGTTCTTTGATT